GCCACATTAGCACAGAGACACAATTGTCAGTTCAAATCCCATAGTGGTAAGGATGGTGGAAGAAGAATTAGCGGTAATGAAGAAGATTAGGGTAACAACAAACTGTTACCCGTGACAGTTTTTTTTGTTTAGAATAAAACTGATTTATTTGTAGTTTATTCTTTAGTTAACTCAAATCTGTAAGACTACAATTATAATAAATTGTTCTTCTGTATAAATTTGGTGAAATGTCCCATAGTAGTAGAGCTAGGTGGAAGTATTAGCAGAGATAGGGGAGATAATGTTTCTAAGATATGATTCAGGAAGTATATACCCTCGTGAAATAAACTTAAAAAAGAAAAAGATAAAAGTGATGAGAAACTCTGAAGATTAGAATTTGAGAGAAGCCAAAGAACGAATGCACCTGCACCACTGAAAATGATTGTGAGCCATGTCGTTCAAGATCTCTAAACATTGGTTACTAGCGTCTCGCAGACTCTAACCAGGTAGTCTACTACATAGGCCAACATGTCTCAGTCCACTTATGAGTGACTTCATGGATTTGTTACTGTTTTTGCCTTTTTTTTGTCTGTAAATCATTGACTGCTCAATAATAATTTCATACTTGTTCCCATAAAAAAACACAACTCAAAATGGTAAAAACAAAATTCTAATTTACCAGTGAAGAGGTTATCAGTTCGAGTCATAATATCATGGCATGAAGTAAAGCTATGCAGCACTACTACTGACTGACCTTCCTAAGAAATGGCGCAAAGCTAAAATCTTCTCAACACTAGCCTTAATTGAGAGTGCAGGTAGAGTAAAAAAAAACGAAAACATGATATTTGGTGATTGATGAATAGTAAATTTCTGCACAATCTCTGTATAGAAAGATAATTATTTATATCCGTCCTTTTAAAATTATGATGTACATATTTGCCAGTATATACTTTCTTATATTTTATACTTTTATTTTACACAATTTTATGATACTGTTTTTGTTTTGATTACATATTCGTTTTTCTTTTTCAGCAGATTTAATTTGTTTTTATTTACAACGATGATGATGATGTTGATGATGATAATAAACACTGAAAAGAAAAATTTGTTTCAACTTTTACTACTTCAATTCATTAAGTTAGTTGTATTCTTTTGAAAAACAGAAACAACCTATTCATATTATTATTTATCCTAGTAAACTGACATTTTAACACTGTAAAAAAATAAAAAGAAAACAGTGAATATTTACAAAATAAATTTAATTATTCAATAAATTTTATGGTAAATTATTATTCGCAATAGACATGCACTTGTAATCATAGTACAAATGTATTACTACAGAAGGAACTTAGTTCATGATTATCTGATTATTATTTCATATCAATGTTTGTTTATCAATCAGTTACAATTTTGGTCTTTATTCTAAATAACTGAAGATCATGTGTACCACTGTTATATTACATCTGTTATATTACATAATTGAAGATAGTCAATAAATGACCATGGACTTATTTTTTTTTGGTGCTAATTGAGATTTTTTAGAAAGACTTATTAGTAAGATACTGTGTGTAGGATTTCACAGAGTATTGACCAGTTTTATGATCGGTATTTCACATGTATATTAACACTGGATGAGACATGTTCATATCCCACGGGAAGCATTGACTTCTTCGAAGTTGGTGACTGTTGTCGAACCCCGATGGGTTCTAAGCACTTCTATTGATTGCTTCGAATCACCTAGAATAGCAGTACTATAATAGTTACACATTTCAACATCCAGTAAGTAGATGGTGACTTCAAATAATACACAAAGTTGTCAGTCTTAATCAGATCCTTACATCTAACTTATCATAAAGGTCTTATTACGACACCTTGAAGTTTTTCATTCGAACTTAAATCACATTGACTACGGTGCCTAAGTTTACAAAAACCAATGTAAGCGAAGTCTTGTCGTCTCTAGTTAACGCCTTATCATAAAGACTGACATTGAGAGGCAGATAACTATCGGCATGTGCCTAGAGCTCGGTTTTATAAGTTAACAGTAATAGGTTGTAGGAAAAACTGTATACGTAGTTTAGATACGCGCCGTGCGCATTTTAAAGCCAAAAAAAGTGAATTGAGTAAATGACGGTTCTGATATTTCTCATAAATATAAATATACATCATTATCTAAACAAATATTACCACTCAGTTATTTCACCAACAATTGTTCAATTAATCAAATCACCAACAACAGATAACTGATATTCTATCCCTTTTGGATAGATCAGATTCCTTCAAAAGATAATATTTGGTTGCTTTATAACACAGAGTGTTTCCTATTCTAGAAGAGTGCTTCAATTCACAATCGAAATGTACAATTCCAGTCAAAGCAAGCAACCCAATCAAAAGCGGAACAAATGAATATGGTTGTAGCCATGACTAAGTATCAGCTTAAACAACATAATGCAATTCAGAAAGAAACATAGAAACTCAGTAAGGGCAGAAGAAATAGAAACTATAATAAAATACAAATAGTATCATCTCAAAATGGAATCGAACAGACTCACAAAATATACAACTGTAGGAATCAATAAGGACAAATTACAAATGTATATATGAAGGGATTTTCACAAACAAAACCTTCAATAAATGAATCTAACATTGGGTTGTAATATGATTGGTTTCCCTGTTGAATCATAAAACTGTCATACTATTTAATAGTTTCATTCTATTCTTGATGATTTATTAATTGGTTTTCATTGTAATTTACTTATTCTAGAATAATGATGATATTTTCATAATCTGAATCCCACCTATCTTTCTACACTAAAATATAATAACTTGTAATGTAAAATGTAAAACTACATCACCAAGACTTAATTTTACTGCAAACCTTTGTGTAGACCAATTAAAAAAACAAACATTGAGAGTTCCTATTTTTACATGACGCTACGGGTGATGTAACAAATTCAATTCTATTGTGTATTGTATAACAACATCAATATACACTTTTTTTTCAATGTTCATTGTTCTTTATCATCATGTGAACGCCATTTTATGCCTTGTTCACAAATAACCATATACCCGTAAGCATTGAAACAAATCAAACATTCCCATTTACGTAATATGTCACTAGAAAAAAAATACATCAATAATAATAATATCAATAGTAATAGTAATAATAACATTATTATTATCAAAAATTATTAAATTTAATAATTTCACTTACCATGTATGTTAAGTAAGAAATTTTCGGTAACGATTGATTGATTACAAATTTGAAAGCGACCGAAGTGAGAAATAATGTGAAAGATAATTGTAGACGATTTTCTGGCCGTTCCGGTGGCACAGCAAATGTTGCAAATGATAAACCGGTGATAAAGAACTAAAAAAAACAGTAGTTTTGTAATAAATAAAAAAAATATGGTTTACTTTGAAATAAGTGATAGTATAAATCAATAATAGATTGGTATCTTTAAAATATTGAAATAAAAAATTTTCAGACAGAGTTTTTGAGGTTTGTGCTTTTTCACATTTGAAATCATCAACCAATCATTGTGAGATCACCATTAGAAACCTGGAAGCACTGAAAGACTGCCGTTTCGTCCTGGTATTGGACGAATCAGCAGTGCGCGGGATCCGAACGCGGGACTTTCGGTATTGTGCGCGAACGCCTAACCGTCGGAACACTTGGCCGGCATCCAACGGTGTTAATGACTAACTCTGACTGATCTACGGATTTTGCGCCACCTCACCCATTTGCCTTTGGTAGTTAATGCCTACACCCGACAGGGTTGAACTCCACTGGTCACGTCTTCTCAACTAGAACTCCGAGAATTTCCACACGAAGCTAGTAACTGGTGGGCACATATTACGATATTTTCAGGCAGAGTTTTGTAGGTTTGTGTTTTTACACATTCGAAATGATGAGTCCCACACCAGGACGAAACGGCCGTCTTTCAGTGCTTCCAGGTTTCTAATGGTGGTTTAACAATGATTGATTGATGGTTTCAAATATAAATAAAAAAATTACATTTTTGTAGAATAAGTTTTTTGTTTTGTAAGTGTTTCATTTCTTTTATTATGTCATTATTAAATATGCGAAACAAGACTTGAATATTCTTCATTTAGAGTGTTACGGTAAAACTACCAACCGCATAACACTCTAAATGAAGAATCTTACAATGTGCTCACTGATGACTAGCTTCGTGAAGAAATTCTTGGAGTTCTAGTGAGAAGACGTGACTGATGAAGTTCAATCCTGTTGGTTGTAGTCAGTAACTACCAGAGACAAACGAGTGAGTTTGCGCAAAGTCCATAGAGTTAGACATTAACACTGTTGGATGCCGGCTCAGTGGTTCCGACATTAGGAGTTCGCGCGCAAAACAGGAGGTCTTATGCTCGAATCCTGTGGGAAGCAAGACTCGTGGTTGTGCAATGTTGATGAGTCCCATACCAGGACGAGACGGCCTTCCATTGCTTCCAGGTTTCAAACAGTGGTTAATTAATGATTTATTCATGATTTCAAGGTAAGACTTGGATAGAGCTAGAACAACTCTTGAAGTTATAATAATAAGATACAATGATAAGCTAACAAAAACGATTCTGTAGGAGTCTCATCAAATGCTCTGAAATGGTTTAAGTTCTAAAATTAAATGGTGCGCTTATAAAAATAGCTTTTAACTAAAATTCTGTATATCGTACTTCAATATCAATTTTAAGTTGAAAAATGTACTTTTGATAGGTTGATTAAAGTAGAATTTTTTGTAGATCGAGTATACTTAGACAGTACTGGTTATCAGAAAATGACACCTGACATTAAAATTCAAGCAATCAGTTAACTGACTACATTTAGTAAGATTCTCCTCAATTATCCTCAAGGTTACAGTTTGTCAAAAACTAAACAAAACGTCATAGCTTTGCAAAAACGCTACTTATGCTAATAAACTCTTACTAAAATGAAATAATAACATTGTACTAAAATTTATGTTGATAATGTTATTCAGAAGAAGAACAATGAAAGCTCCACAACCAAAACATCCAGCGTACACAATGAAACTCTATCGCAATCACAATCCACATGAGCTACAAATTTTCTCCACTATCTCACTGTGGACTGAGATATCTCTCTATACTGAGATTATTTTTTAATGTAAAAAAACTTGATGAGCAATAAAACAAATTAATAGGTCTTTACTTGACTAAACATTCTTTACACAATTTATCTGGGTAATTCCTAATTGAAAAACTCAAGTCAACTAAGAAATCGTTCAAAAACTTCACAGTCTTTTTCCATAACACTATAATTGTTTATTGTCGCATTGGTACATATTGTATGTATATATATTGTTTTTGACAAAAAAAACGAAACGACCATCTGTTACCTGTATTCTTAAGATAATTGTTTACATATGGAATGAAATATTTTCTTTTTTTACAAAAAACGTAGATTTACTACTATTGATAAACAATGGAAGCAGTGCTCTGATAAACATATTTTGATATCATCATTCTATCAAAGTATCATTTGTCTGCGTACATATAGTAGGGTAAATCACCGCTTAATAATATAACATATTCGGTTAGCTTTAATAATACTTCTGAAGTCATAAGTTATGAGTAACTTCATCTCAACACGATAGATAAAACTTGTATATAATATTATATCAAACTCATATAATACTTTGATGTCTCAGGATCCTAACAAACCTTATTATTATTAAGTGGTTGTAAGAAAAGTAACAGGAATCTCTGAACTTCTATAGTTTTAATAGTTGGGCACCTCTTTACAGATAGAAAAGTTCATTTATCCATCTCACTGGACAAACTCGTAAAATCTCAGTTTATTGCCACTGATTGCTAAAGATGTCACGACAAAGTGTGGAAGTTTTGTACTAGAAGAAGAAAATGGTCACGTTAATATCAAACAATATGACTTGAAATTAAGCTCGTTCATCGTGGCTTCACCTGAGGCGCAAAAGAAAAGCTTCTTGAATTAACAGAAAACACCAGTATATGAGTATATTGTTTGATTTTTTAAAGTCAAATTCAGGTGATTGCTTTATATCAATGCATGAACTTACAGAAGTGCTATTAAGTGAAATTTTGAAAAGACTAGTCTCTTCAGTAGGATATAATTAATGAGTAGTTACCTAACTTTCAATTAAGTTTTCACTGTTAGGCAATTTTTGTGTAAAATATTAAGTTACTCAAATTGATTATCAGTAGTTAGCACTTACTGACAAATTATTAAAATAAATATCAGTCATTTTAAGCTTCGTAGAATGTATGTACCACATATTATGAAGAAACAACAGCAGGAAACATAATGTACTGAGTATTTTTTGATTCATCAATTACGCATAATTAACTCATCCTTTCAGTAGGATAACAGAGTGATATGCTTTTACTGGTGGGCGGCCTATGCTCCATTGGGGATAACAGGCGTAAGTAAGTAAGTAAGTAATGCTTTTACACATTTGAAACCAATAATCTCTATAATTCTAGTTGAAAATATCGTAAAATGTTCTTACTAGTGACTAGCTTCGTGAGGAAATTCTCGGCGTACTAGTGAGAAGATGTAACCAGTGGAGTTCAACCCTATCGGGTGTAGGCAGTAACTACCAAAGAAAAATGGGCGAGGTTGTGCAAAATCATCATCAGAGTCAGACATTAACACTGTTGAATACCGGTCCTGTGGTCCAGAGGTTGGGCGTCTGCGCGCCAGACCAAAGCTCCTGGGTAGGAATCCTACGAGGTGCAGGAGTCGTGGATGCTAACTGCCACTGATAAGTCCCATACCAGGACGAAACGGCCGTCTAATGCTTCCAGGTTTCTAATGGTGATCTCACAATGACTGATTGATGATTTCAAATGTGTAAAGACAATAATCTCTATGACTGTAATTGAAATGCATTCAAATATGCTTCTAGTGGTAATTTTCAATCAAGTAACATTACCACCAATCGATAATGTTATTATTACTTGTTTTTCAAACATTAACTATCACGCTATTTTACTCTCACATCATGTTTACTTTTAAATAAAATAGTCTCAATAATTTGTATTTTTGATTATTACTTACTGTATCAACTTTTCATGTCTCCTTACTCTAGGGTAATTTCAATCAGCAACATAAGAAGGATATCATTTTTACAAGGCTAATTTTTTACTCAGAGTTTCATGCGTGATTATTTCTAATTAATATGTAATTTTAATGTGTAGTTTTTTTTATTGTAATAACAAATAAATAAATTAGAACTTGGATATGAAAAAGCATTAAATTTGTAGATTTCATTAAATAGGTACACACATTATTAGCATCATACCATAATTAGAAAGACATTCCAGTAGAAATAACCTGGTCTACGTGCTGCTCTACACGTCACAGAAATACAAGGATGACTTTGACTAGAATTTGTATATTCTTGAGTGGCTGAACGTCGTGTCACTTCAATATGTTCATGCAATCGCCATTCCTATAAGTGAATAATAGTAATAAAAATAGTGTGAAAAAAATTAAAGGTTAAGTATATTTCCCCATTTTTTGAATATAAAGCTAACTATTTATTTCACCAGCATGATTTTATGAAGGTATATATGAATTAAATAGAATAACAGTTTCTTAAAACGTACTTGCTTCTCGGTTGGAATGTGAAATGTCTGCATAAAATCCCTTGATCCCTCTTACCGAATTCACTTTTAGGAATATAAAATGGGTAGTTTTAATTCTGAAATGTTTTGTGTTGTTAACTGTGCATGTAAATGAAAAATATAATCTCTAACGAAATCGTAGTGCTTCATAGAAAACTGAACAATTATCGGCGGATGTCTTTAGTATACTACAGTAAGCATATTTCAAAACTAGTCACTTGTTAATACTTACTTCTTATGTCTTAGGTAGGGGGTTGAGCTTTTAAATTCAAGTTCAAACAAATCATAGAAATGTTTAGGAATCATAGATGACATTTTCGAAAGTCCTAGATAATGAAATGTAGTATCTGTGGTACCTGAGATAAAAAATTTTGATAACTCTGATTGTTTTTGTATGACCTAGTTAAAATGGTCATGCAAATGAAAAGTTGAGGATAATTTGTTATATAGTCAGGAGGTGAAATATTACACATTTGGTTTTATTTATTATTCCTGAGTTAAAAATCCATTTCAATCACCAAGTGGTTATTGGTTTAACCCATCTTAAATTCCATAGCATAAATATTTCGAAGATATTTTAAAATACTGTGATTATTTTCACAGCGAATGCTGTATGATAAAAATCAATGTAATTCACTTATTACTTTATTGACAAATAAGTAGTATACTTTATTCTACAAAAATATATGATCTGATGATTTCTTAACGTAATTAAAGAACGTAACAGTCAAA